TGGTCAGAAATATACTGGTGGGTAAGATGGCCGCCTTAATGTTCTCCCCACACCAGCGCCTTAACACAGCCTCGTCAGGAAGGTCAGCCGATAGTTCGAGTGCCAGTCCAATTTTTTTCGAAGTGTCACATATGGTGCGGAATAGGTCCCACCTGATGGATGACATAGAATGGAGCAAATTTTTTGAATATGTCATTTATATCAAAATATTTCATGGGTATCATTTCTGATTAACAAGGGCTCCAAAAACTGTGTGAGCACAAACTTAAATTGTTTTATGTCAAATACTTCCTTCACCTAGTAAATGCTAATGAATTTATTACTTCCCTGGCCAGGCATATTCTTGTAAACTCAAAATGAAAATGCAGATTCTGAACTAGGCTGGTGGTTTACAACATTCATTATTGAATTTCAATGGCAATTTTTAAAATAAACAAGTGAATAAAAAAGAAGAAAAAATCCCCACCATTTCCAAGTATCGTCCTCCCAACTCGTGGTTTCCTCATCTGTCTGCTGTGACTGGAAGACTGCAGAGGCGACCTCTGCTGGAGATCTCATTGGCACCTGGACCCAGAACTAAAAACCAAGAAAAATTCACACATGAAAATGATCAAATACAAGCTGAAAATCTTTCATACCATTTGCTTACAGGTTTGACAATATTTGATAGTCAACATCAATATCATACATCAGTGTGTTAATGAATTCTAAACATTGCAGCCTTTTCTTTGTCATATATTTGTGAGAGTGGGCAAAAATGTGTTCTCCAAGAAGTCACAAAAACTTCATAATTTAATTGGTAAAGAAAAGCAAATATTAATTTCAGAATCAGTCCATGGCCTTTTTGCAATCAAAATCACAAGAATCAAAATTAAAATATTCAAAACAACTAAATCAACTTCTAATAACTTCTAATTTAAATTTTATTTATATCTAATAACTTTTCATTAACATCTAATAATCTAAAAATACCTGCTGGTTCGGTCCTTGTGTTACATGTTCATTTAAAAATCTAGCAGCATTGACACATTTCCCATGTTTTAGCTTCATCAGCACTGCTGGTAATGTCAAATGTGCAGCAAAAGCCAGCTCTTCTTGGAAAGCCTGGACAGGAACAGGACAAAAATCGTAAAAATTTAAAGTGGTCCAATAAAACTGTCTCGAGTATAACATTCCACTATGTGTAGCATTCGTTGATTATGAAAAAGCCTTCTACTCAGTAGAAACCCAGTATATACTGGNATCTGAGGCTCAGGATAGGAAACAATGGAAAAAGCATGCTGAGGCCTTTGTCCAACATTGGAACACTATAGGCTCTAAATGATGATGATGATGATGATGAATAAAACTGCTATTCACAGTTGACCCGTGTTTAGGTTCTTTCAATCACTACGATAAGTTTGAAGATAATAAGACACTCACATGGTTATCCATATATTGTGTCAACAGTGAAAAGTGCATAATTTTGAGGAAATCTGTCTGCGCATAAAAACATTCTCTTCTGGACAGGACTTTATCCATTGGGAAAACTGCAGCAACATTTTATCATTAATCAGCAAGAAGTTTTTTTCAGATTCAAGACTATGGAAGACAAGTTTTTAGGTAAAATATTACATTACCCTCTCAGACAGGTTTAACAAACATATTATAGACATATCTTTTTTTTTAAATAAAATATAGCATGTAAATTTCCAGCTGCATTAAAAATCATACACAATATCAATTTGCAAATCAGACTGCATTCATTGCCAAGTGGCATGCCTTACCTTCTCTGAGTTCTTTCTAGTACTTTCTACCTCTGAGTCCAAATCTATCCATGGGGAGATCTTTCCTACAATCAAACTGCCCCAATCTGAAAAAAAGTTCAATACACTCAAGATTGATATCAGCACATAAATTGTGCAACCTGACTTACATTGCTGATGTCGTAATGTACTGATCAAGGCTAATTAAAGGAACAAATCAATCAATGTGTGTTTGCTATTTGTTAGTTTAAAGAGAAAAGGCAAAATATAAGCCTCAAGCCAGTGTCATTCTGTATTAGTGAGGACCACATGATAACAGAATAACAGATCAGCAGTAATAAAATATGACAGGTTTTTTGCTGATCTGACTGCAAATCCAAAACCATTCATGTCATAAATTTGATGGTGGCCCCTTAGACTTTACTGAGCACAATTTTCCACCAGTCCTTGAAAAGTGAAACATGAATAGTGGCCCCGACCAGACTGGAGGGCTCTTTGCTGGACTGACTGTCAGTTTTGGTGAAGATCCTGTAACTTGAGAGTCAACTTACCCGTGGAGGTCAACAGGAGGTCAGATCTTGTGAGGGGCCCTTGTCGTGATTTGGCACCTCCTTCTATAAACTCTCTCTTGTAGCGTGGATGGACCATTGGGATGCACACAAAATCAAAGCTGAAATTATGAAAATAAAATGAAATAAAGTCTGCTAACAATGTCTCTAGAGGGAAACATCAGAATCATAATGAAGAGGATGTTGCACATGTTGTGTGTAGAGGGCCATGTGTAAGATAAGTGTACAAACTTCATATGTTTTACCCTCTTTAAATAAAGTTTATTATCATATTATAAGGCAGATATCAAGTTGGTGGAGTTTGTTCAGCATCATTAATCCATAATCCATTGCTTATTAAATTATTGAACTTCCATTGAAGATTTCTGTTACCTAAGCTAATCTTTCTACAAGTATATGAACACAACTAATTAAAAAAAAAAAAACTCTGCAGTTTGGGTTATGTACTAGTTAGACTATTTTATTAATAGTAAATTTATTTAAAAATATACTTGAGTTATTCTGATTGATTTTAACGTATTATATGACAGTCTTGTGTGATATCACAAGCGTCGTTATGAGCGCTTTTCAGATCCAGAACTTAATCAATCTGACACAAAAAAATGTGGTGTTTCTCCATAATGCAGTACATTACATGTGCATGTACCAGTAACTTGTACGAGTAGTTGAACTTGTAGTGTAGGGTTATGATTTGTCGGCACACACATTAGGTATGTTACAAAAATTTTCAAAGTCCCCAAAACCTCCTAAAATCAAGGCAGTCAGATGGACCATAAAAAAAGATGGATTTTGATACCAAAACCAAGTCTATAGCCCAAAAATCGACAAAGATATTGCAAAAATACTCTTCCCAATTTGACGCATTTTTTTCTGTTGGCTTAACATTATGATTTCCGAAAAACTGTGATCATGAAAATTGATGTGTCAAACAAAAACGTCCACTGTTCCCATAAAATTCAAGATAATTCAATGAAATTTTCAGGAGAAACAGCCTGAAGCATTCTGGATAGACTACTGTATCTAAATCTGAAATAGACAGACAAAATCAATTAATTTATAAATTAATAAGTAATTAATCCCAAACTCGTTCAACTGGTTATCAAATAAAAAAGTGCTTGGATCATCTCCCAAATGCTAAAACCCACTAAGAAAACACCAAAAATGAAAGTTAGGAGATATAACACAAGCAGATAAATCAGAAATTATGTTTTCAGACTGCTAATGAATGTCAATCAATTAGTTAGTGATCAAGAAGCAATTGATCACTCTGAAAATAGTGGCATCTATTTACTAGTATGTATTTTATGAATACATTTTCCTACATGTCAGTTGAAAAAAAGGTATCAGTTAGCAAAAATTGATATTTTCCTCTATCATAAGCAATGTCACAATGTCAGCTAGATCAGCATCACCTTGGCTCTATTGCTGAAAGAAAAAATAAGAAGGAATTAAAAAAGATATATCCAGATTCGAGACCTGTAGTTACCTTTACAGTACCATGCATGCATTTACTGATAGCTGGCAAATTCAAGTATCTTCACAAAAATTATATATCTGTGTACATTTCTTGAGCTTTGGATGTATAGAATAGGACAACAGAGCAGTCGGCTTTTCTATTTTGTTGCTACTACTCAATAGGAATGTAATACACTAAAGAAATTATGCCTTAAAAAAACATGTACATCTGTAAAATCCTCAATTTCCCCACAGATAAAAAATCTAGAAATAATTGTTTGACTTAATTACACCATTTAGCATATGTATCTATTAATTATTATTATTATTATTATTAACAATTCTTTTTGTAATTATTATCAGCCATCGCTTATTTTTATAGTCATTATTTATAGCCTAGCTAGCTATCGTCAGTCAAAACATCCGCCATTTTGAATTTTCAGTAGATCGCGGTAAGTACTACGACACGTTCCGGATAAAAGATAAACATGTTCTAATGCTCAGATTTTAATGAAACTTCGTCAGTTTATAGATAAAACTTAATATTCAATGTCCATATACATAAGATTAGCGTCCATGCGCTTGGTCAGTGTTTTTGGAGAAGTCAAAGTGGGGCGACTTTTCAAACTTGTCCCACAGGAGGAATATAGCATTGAAACAAAAATTTCGAACTCGAGGCAGCAGAGGGGATTCTCCTCTGCGTCATAAGCAAGGAATCACTGGGATATTCCCAATGAGAGCCAATCAGCAGCCCGATATTGAGGGTACCCCTCTGCGCTTTGCGCAAGCGTCAAGCACGTGTGATCTGAGAAAATGGCCGCCGTCTAAAGCGGCGATTGTAACATACCTACACACATCATAGTGAGTTTGGAGAAACTTGCTGAGTATTATAGTTTGTTCCTTGCTAAACAATACATATTTGTAAGAAGTTACATACCCATCCTTTGTCGCACTCTCAACAGATGTGTTGATATCTGGACAATAATGAAGGTCTCTCCCGCACGACACGCGTACTGCCATTTTTCGTTTAGAGCTGACCTTGACCTTTTTGGATTTTTACTATTAAAAAGTCCACTTATATGAGAAATACATATTATGATAAATACATCATTTTAAATAAAGAGGCTTTTTGTATTATAGACGAAGAATAAACCCCAATAAAGAAGCTCATTATCACATTGAAGTGATTCAAAAGTGCGAGATACCTCATTCTGTGCAGAACGCTTTCAAGATGTCTGCGCCCTTGGAGACGCACGCTTCGGAGTTAAAACGATACAAAAACATCCCAGTTGTTGTCGTTGAGAACCACAATGAAGTGCGTTACTTTGTTGGTTACAAGGGAACGTTTTCATGTTAACACTAGATATTAAATTGGCGTGTTAATTAACTCACTGATGTGTTATTACAGTATTTAGTGGACGTAATTATTGTGCCTTACAAGTTAATACAAGTACTTTGTAGGTGCTCCATTAGCAATGGACTAACTCAAAATCTTCAATTTCTACATGTATCCTTCGTAATATATTAATCGTCTAAACATTGACACTCATTTTTGCATTCTAATACCCGACACGGGGGCGTCTCGATAGTCCGAAGGTTCATTGGTCCGAAGGTTCATTTGTCCGAAAAGTGGTAACGTTTTCATCGATTTTTTAATCAAGAGTTCATTGGTCCGAAGGTTCTATAGTGAACATTCGGACTATTGAACCTTCGGACTATCGCTACGCCCCCCCCTCCCC